AGTAGTAGTAGTAGTAGTAGTAGTAGTAGTAGTAGTAGTAGTAGTAGTAATGATAATAGGAGAGGTACTATAAGTAGTATTACTAGGTGTATTAGTAGTAGTGGAGTAGTATCCGAAATAGACATCGTACTCATTGTCGTTATAAGCGGTAATAGTAATAATTATATGAATACTACTACTACTACTCTTACTACTACTACTACTACTACTACTACTAGTGGTAGTTGTAGTGGTAGGGGTAGTACTAATGGTAGTGGTAATAATACTTGTTATGGTAATAGTAATAGAAGTAGCAGTCGTAGTAGTAGTAGTAGTAGTAATAGTAATAGTAGTAGTAGTAGTAGTACTAGTAGTAGTAGTAGTAGTAGTAGTAGTAGTGTCGGAAACGGCCGAGGGGTAGTAGTAGTAGGAGTAGTGAGTAAGTTAGTAGTAGTAGTAGAGCAGTAGGTAGTAGTTAGTAGGATTAGTAGATAGTAGTAGTAGTAGTAGGAAGTAGCAGTAGCAGCAGTAGTAGGTAGTCTTTAGTCGTTAGTCTTTAGTAGTAGTAGTAGTAGTAGTAGTAGTAATAGTTTCACGTAGTGATGTATGGTCTTTATTGATTAGTTAATAGTGTTATCTAGAATAGTAGTAATGGTAGTAGTAGGTATTAGTAGGTAGTAGTAGGAGTAGTAGGTAGTAGTCGTTAGTCGTCCGTAGTAGTAGTAGTAGTATAGTAGTAGTAGTAAGTGTAGTCGTGGTATTATTATTATTAATATTATTAGTAGTTAGTAGTAGTAGTAGTAGTAGTAGTTGTAGTAGTAGTAGTAGTAGTAGTAGTAGTAGTCGTAGTAGTAGTAGCAGTAGTAGTAGTAGTAGTAGTAGTAGTAGTAGTAGTAGTAGTAGTAGTAGTAGTAGTAGTAGTTAGTAGTAGTAGTAGTCGTAGTAGTAGTAGTAGTAGTAGTAGTAGTAGTAGTAGTAGTAGTAGTAGTAGTGGCTGCGTCGCGCCGTAGGGGAATTGCCCGAGGCCGAGCGGCCCGCAGCGCGCTCGTCCCTGCGCTCGGCAGTGGCCAACGCCCTGCAGGGCCATGTCGCTGAGCAGGTCGCCCTGGCGACGGAAGACGTAGTCGGGCTGGGCGCCGGGGTCGCCCCGAGTGCCCGGTCTTGACTAGATGTGGCTCCCTCCCACTCGTGTGTGCTCCCTGCCCCTTCCCCCCCTCCTTGCCTTCCTGCTGCCCGCCTCCCCCCCCTCCTCCCCGGCGCCCCCTGTGGTGCGTTTGGTGTATGATTTTTTAGCATCTTGGCAAAAGTGCTCGCTCCCGCCTCGGCGCCAGTAGCAGTCTTGGAACGCGGAGGGGCCCGATGCTATATTTTTCCCATCCGAACGCCCTCTCCAAAAACACCGGGTGTCGCTGCAGACCGGTGTTCTTAATCTATCAGGCCGGCTGGTCTTTTAAGTCGGTGGCTCTTTCTTTCGCCGGTGCTTAGTTTTTCGTTCTTCGCACGGTCAACTGTGCGCCTAGCCATTTTGGCTTGCCATCCTGGCCTCTTCTCGCGCCTACTTGCGCTCGTCGGCCTCGATGGCGGTGCCGGGGTCGCCCCGTGTGCTGCTGTGCCGCCGCTGTCGCTTTACTCGGAGCCGTAGTAGTAGTAGTAGTAGTAGTAGTAGTAGTAGTAGTAGTAGTAGTGGTAGTAATAGTAGTAGTAGTAGTAGCAGTAGTAGTAGTAGTAGTAGTAGTGGTAGTAGTAGTAGTAGTACTAGTAGTAGTAGTAGTAGTAGTATTAGTAGTAGTAGTGGTAGTGGTAGAGGTAGTAGTAGTAGTAATTATAGTAGTAGTAGTAGTAAGTAGTTAGTGGTTGAGTCGAGTAGTAGTAGTAGGAGTATAAGTATTAGTAGTATTAGTAGTAGGGTTTGATTGTAGTAGTAATAGTAGGTATTATTGATCGTAGTAATAGTTGGTAGTCAAGTAGTAGTAAGTAATAGTAGTATTGAGTAGTAGTAAGTAGTAGTAGTAGTAGTAGTAGGAGTAGTCGTAGTAGTATTGGTCGTAGTAAGTAGTAGTAAGTAAGTAGTCACAGTAGTAGTAAGTAGAGTAGTCGTAGTCGTAGTAGTAGTAGTATTGGTCGTAGTAGTAGTAGTATATTAGTATGGGTAGTAGTAGTAGTCGTAGTTTGGGTTAGTAGTAGTAGTAGTGTAGCAGTAGTAGTAGTAGTCAGTTGTAGTATAGTGGTTCAGTAGTCGTACGTAGACGTAGTAGTAGTAGTAGTAGTAGTGAGTCAGTATTGTACGATTAGTCGTAAGTAGTAGTAGTAGTAGTAGTAGTAGTAGTAGTAGTAGTAGTAGTAGTAGTAGTAGTAGTCGTAGTAGACGTAGTAGTAGTAGTAGTAGCGGTAGTAGTACAGCCCCCCTAACGTAGCCAATCGCTACCCTAATTTGACCCAGGCCCCTTTCGACACTGCGCCAAAGCTAACCTGACCCATTGGTGTTAACGTGGCCACAGGCGCTTCGACACCAGTGTGTCACGCCCGCACTGTAGCAAATGATGCACCATAATAGGTCGACACAACAGAATGCAATGCAAAAGTGCCAACTGTATCACTACGGATGTGGCCGGCGCTGTGGCGAGAGCAACGTTCTCAATCGTGGATGTGGCCAGCGCTACGGCGAGAGCAACTTTCGCAATCGTGGATGTGGCCACCGCTAAGGCAAGAATAATTTTTTGTAATCGTGGGTATGGCCGGCGATGATGCGAAAGCTGCGAAAGCAACATTTGCCATCATGAATGCGGGCGGCGCCAGGGAGGGAGTAAATTTCGCAAACGTGGGTGTGGCCGGCGCTGTCGCGAGAGCAACGTTCGCAATCGTTGATGTTGCCAGCGCCACGGCGACAGCAACACTCGCCAATCATGGATGTGGTCAGCGTTGAGGCGAGAGCAACGTTCGCAATCATGGACATGGCTGGCGCTGAGGCGACAGCAGCCGTCGTAGTCGTGGATGTGGCTGGCGCTGAGGCGAATGCGAACTTCGAAGTGACGGATGTGGTTGGCACTGACGCGAGAGCAAGGTTCGCAATCATTGACGTGGCCGGCGAAGATGCGAATGCAAAATTCGCAATCACGGATGCGGCCTGCGATGCGGCGAAAGCAACATTCCCAACCACGGATGCGGCCTGGGGTAAGGCCAACACAAAGTGGACATAAAGGATGTGGCCATTGGTGAAGCGATAATATCCGTCAGTCTGAAATGATTCTGGTAGGTCATATTGCATCCAATTCCATGTCGAAGGAATGCGATATGGGGTGTGGATGAGTAAGATGATAAGATCGATGTAGTGATGTTTCCAACACATAGCGAATACCAAGTCAGGTATCCGGGCAAATAGGGCGGCAACGACGCGCAGGCTATACTCCCGTTTGCCTATAACATCTCCCAAATAACTACCCTTAAAATCGGGGAGTAAAGCCGCGCGGTCGCTAGGCTCTCGACAGGCGCGCAACTCTGTTTGCAAGGAAATCAGTACACGCAGTCTGGTCAACCACCAGACTGAAGGGCGAGATTATTCGCCGGCGAGTTTCCTCGCCAAACTTTTCCACGCACGCGCAGGATAGCCCCGTGGATATAAAAGGGCTATCGGCCCGGCTAGAGGTAAGCCAAACAGGCTATTCCCTTCCGGGCAAAAGGGTATTAAGGCAAAGAACTTGAACCAATCTGAACAGGCTCGTTGCCAAGCGTGAAAAGTATGGCTCGTTTCCGGGCAGGAAAGAGGGCGCCTCCGTATTCGGCGCCCGTGCTGGCAAATTGGGCCGCAGGGGCAACAAGGACAGACTAAAAATGATTCGGCTTAGGTTTGGTTTTGTCTTTGGGGCCCCGAAAGGGAACAAACGGCTTCACGTCATACTCTAATGACTGATTGCCTGACATCACTTCCAAAAACAGCTCCTGATCGATACTCCCCTTCGTATGCCCGTGTGCGGTCATGTCTCTACTGTCACACCACTGTACGTTATGCACTATACCTGTATCCATGAGCTCACGTATCAAGCTGATATGTCCCAGCAAAGTACGTTCCGTCGGTATCTTAAGGTCTTTGCTGGATAACGATTTGTATACAGGCTCAGCGTCTACAGTAAGGGATCTATTGATAGCTATGCCTCCAACTTCACGCATATCTCGTAGTTGTCGTGGGGTAAGTGCTCCGGCCTTGAGCTCGTGGAGAGTGATGAGCGTGGGGTAGCATTCGTCAATCTTATGTGCAGCTGCAAGTGCCTCATCGGCATAGCTGGACCTCACCGGCAGTCGGTGTGACTTGCATGGTCCGTCGCAAAGGTGAACGACGGATTTGCCTTGGGGCGAGTTTCCTCGCCGTAATACGTTAGCCCCACGAATACCGTAGCCCTTGGTTTCATCGTCCTCCTCCCCGGTGCGTTTCCGATACCCC